GTAGTGCCAATGCTGCAAAAATATTATATTTATTCATTAATTCCTTTTTCATATAATCTATTCCAATGCACCCACCACAAAAAACACATGCACACACCTAAGTCATTCAGACTTCTACCTCTAATTAAATCCATACACTCTTCCTTAATTTCCACAATATTATTCCATACTCCGTTCAAGCTTTGTATACCAATAATACAAGTTTAATTAGAATACCACGCTCAAACAGTATGAAATAAATGCACACACTATACCACACCGATGCAACGACCAAGTTCACAAAACGCACACGCCATCCCGAACCTACGCACACACCACCCCGAACCTACGCACACACCAAGCACAAAGAGGAAGTTTTGCACACGCCATAACACCCCAAAGTACACACTAGAAGGCAGATGTGTTAGTTTAAAAAGGTACACAAAGATGACTAAACAATGCTTAATAGAAGAGTAGATGACCAAAAAAATTAAATTAAATGTTTGTAAGTTTTAGAAGGTATTCTACCACCTAACTTTACTTTTCAATGAAGTTGACCATTCAGTTAATTTATGTAATGGAAACAGTTTTGGGGGTTTAACTTAAAAAATTGTAAGAAAACTTCTAGCTAGTTGCAAACTTGGTCAAATTTAAATTTACTTCTAACTATTTGAACTTGTACTGGGTTCGGTGACCTCATCAGAAATCCCTGTGTTGCATTCCTTACAAGTACACTACATTACTGCAAGTAGCCAACTAGGATGGATTAAGCCTTAGCAGTAGAAGAAAAACAGTGAATCCTTCTTAAGCTTCAACTTAATGTTTTTATTTGCATGGCAGTTTGAGTGCCTGTTTCACTATTTTGAGTACTTGTAATCAATTGTCAGTCTTTAGCTCTACAGTGTGCATGTATGTGAAAATGTGTGTATCAATAATTGTGCTAAATAGGTTTTATATTACATTCTACAAAAACAGTTTGAAATAAATGCACACGCCATAATACATCGATGCTACGACCAAGATCACAAAACGCACACGCCAAGGTACAGTATTCTAATATTAAAAAGTACCCTTATTAATAAATACAAGGAGAAATGGAAATTAAATCAACAGCCCCGTATCTCATCTTGTTCACGCCAAGGTTCAAAATTCTTTATTGCACCCGACTCAAGAACATAATCAGAATTTTTTGGATCTGTTTTGTACGTGATCTCTGCGGAGCACTTTGTGCACTTGAAATAGAATCTGAATATTTGAATACCCAAATAGTTCTGCAAATGATCCCATTGCATCAAAAGAAGTCAAATAAATACTTGAGAATCCACAATATATGCCTCAGTAATTAATATAATTAATTATAAGAACACAACAAACTCCTGAATATAGTTGAATGTTAATACAACACATTACTTATGCATACAAATCACAGAAGGATAACATTATGCTAACTTTGCCTCAGGTGAGTTTTACACTTAATCCAAAGGAAAACCTTCAGCAAAAGAAAGCCAATCCTTAATCAATATAGATGTCATGACACAAAATGACTCTTTTATCAAACTATAAATACCTAAATGCAGACCAGGCTTATAGTAGCATTAAGAGTAGTTTACACATATCCGTTCAACACTCAACACGTGAATTAGTTTTGTGCATGATGTTTCAAAGCAGCAAAATATACCAATATATTTTTGATAAAATCCTAAATTGCATAGCTTCCATCAATTCCAAGATGAATAGAGTGGCTGAAATTAAGATAGTAACAGCGTGAAAATAATTGATAAGTTCCTACATACCTCGCCTACGGCATCTTCTTTGCGGGAGTTGAATTTGGTGCCCTTGTAGATATAATTCCAATAGGTATTGCATCTAACGCTCATTGGAAGCATCATTTGAACCTTTAGTGCAGACATAAACATATTAACGACACTTTTCGCAGAAATCGAAACAGAAACGAGAAAACTATAAAAGCAATAAACAAACAGTCGCTGGTTCACTGCGGTAGGCGGCGGCGACTTCTGGTTCGCGGTCGGTGGTGGCGGCCTCTGGTTCGCAGACGGCGGAGACGACCTCTGGTTCGCGGTGGGTAGCGACAACCTCCGGTTCGCGGTCTCCTGTACGGCTGTACCCTAGTTCGCGATCGAGAATGCACAAACAGACGCAATGGGAGAGAGACGGCGATTGGAGATTTCACAACAGAGATGGAAGGCTGGAATGTGAATCGTGCGTGAGAGCTACACCGCTGCTGCAACTCCCAATCCTACTGAATATGTCAAGAATATCTAGTACTCCGTAATTCATATTTGCATATTTGGTAATGAATTAATGACTAAGCTAAATTACCTCACTGCCCCTAACCCTATTCAATTTCAGCGAATAAAATTAAAAAACCACTTAAAATCTAAACCGTCCAAAGATGCAAATTAACGTACAAGATTGAGCCTCCGACCTCACCTGCCAATGCTAACCTCACCGGATCCAATATATATATATATATATATATATATATATATATATATATATATATATATATATATATATATATATATATATATGTATATATATATATATATATTTATATTCCTCGCGAGTGGCTCGACGAGCCACGAGCTTAAAACATTTGAGCTCGAACTCGACTCGATTACGAAACAAATCGGCTTGAACTCAAATTTGACTGAGCTTGAGCCGAAATTTGACCGAGTGACTCGCAAACTGCTCGGCTTATTTACACCACTAGCTCATTCTCACGTAAAACTTGTAGGAATAATAAATATGAAAACAAACACAAAAATAATAAATTTGAGCCACAAGTCTTTCTGTTTTAATGGATTTGCTCAGACCAGCCTATCCCGTTCTGCAATAAGGCAAGTTAGGGTCAATAAAATTTGAGACCACGAAAATACGGGCATAACAGACTTGACATGTGGTCCGCAGACCGCGCGGGCCAGATTTGTTTAAATTTTAAAAAAAATCACAAGTCATAACTCATTAATCATTAGCCCTAGTTCAGTCTAGACTCTCCGGTACTCCTTACACCGCAGCTGTTTGCTACGTAGAAACACAAACTAAAGACGAAGATATCATCCCAGCAGGTCGCCGACTCGCCTTATCAGTTCTCAGAGTTGCAGGTCGCCGACTTGCCGAACGCAAGTCACCGAAGTGAATTGTTTTTTTTTTCCGCTTCTCGCCTTCGGTAGTCAGTAGAATCAGTACATTGACATAAGACAACGATAACAAATGTTAATACTAATAATAATCATAATCTTAATAATTTAGTTAATATTATATAAAGAAAAGTTCTACTACATGTATTTCCAAATTATACTCCTTTAGACTATCCTTATCCTTGCAATTATCTGTCACTTGCTAAAATAGGTCCACTTCCACATCATCAAATTTGTAAATTCTCGACTTTTTATTTTACATCTATGCAAATCTCTCGCACTTTAAAAAATGGATCATACTTTCATATTATATTATAAATATAATAATAAAATAATATTAAAATAAATATAATAATAAAAAATCAAAAGGTGTGCTGCAGCAGTCTTGTCATATGCTTTTGTCATATTAGCTAATTATTATCTCTCCATTTGTTAATTTTGTCAATTTTCTCTCATCATACAATACACTTGGTTTTAAATATATATATAAAAAAAAAAAAGTATATCTCTTACCATGTAAGCTTACCAATCTTAAATTTGTAGGAATAATGACAAACTTACTTTTATTCCATGATATAATAGACAATGATAATTGGGAAGAAGAAAAATGTCTAACTCAATAATTTAAGAGTGAATAGAATTTAGAAGTAAAAGTTAGGAATCGGCTTAATAATTTCCTATAAAGAATTGTCTGGGATAACACTTGGTTGAGATTTGTCACGGTAATGGCGGTGATGGTCCATTGGTTCACCCTGATTAATTCTTATATATGATCAAATTATGGGATTTGTTAAAGTGCTAATTAAATGGGTTAAATTGCTAATTGGTTAAGAGTGGAGGTTGTGGGTTTCTCTGGTGGCAGCTGGGTCTTTTGGAATGTTAATTGCTATATTAATATTTGCTTCACACTTCTACAATTTATTTTGATGCAGGTCAGTGAAAATCAGGCTGAACCTTGGTTCTTTTGCAGTGGTGTATGGCAGCTCATCCCCTCCCCTCAGAAGGAAACTCTTTGTAGATCTATCCCACTACAATTTGGACATCCGTGGCCCGTGGTTAGCTGTGGGTGATTTTAACTCTGTAACCAGCCTGGACGAAGTTAGTAACCCAGCTAATTGGCAAAGGTCTCGATGTACAGACTTCATTGATTGGATCTTTCAAGAAAGACTAATTGATTTGGGTTTCTCGGGTTCCAAGTTCACATGGATGAGGGGTGCAAATCAATCATCCTTCAAGGGAGCAAGGTTAGATCAGGGACTTTGCAACATTGCTTGGAAGTCCAGATTTCCAGAAACTACAATTGACCACCTGCCAATATCTTACTCTGACCATACCCCTTTGTTAATAAAAACTTCTCAGCCGTATGTTGCTCCCATCAGTAGACCTTTTAGATTCAATTTAGCTTGGTCTACGCATCAGTCGTTTCTCCCATTCGTCCTTCAGTCTTGGTCAAATAATGTTCACTTGGAGACAAATAAATCCAGTCTAGCACAAGCATTGCACATTTGGAATAGATGCGTCTTTGGTAATATTTTTCAGAGAAAGAAGAAGCTCTTGGCCCGACTTAATGGGGTTCAACGCGACTTGGCTGAGCAATGCAGGCCGAACCTTCTAAAACTTGACCGCAAACTACGCAAAGAGCTGGAGGATACTTTATATCAAGAAGAGCTATTATGGTTTCAGCGCTCTAGGGAAGAATGGATTGTCTCAGGTGATCGCAACACGCATTTTTACCATTTGGCAACCTCCATGAAGTACAGTTCGTCCAAGATCCATAAGTTTAAAGATGACTCGGGCAACTGGATCACTGATAAGCCAGCAATCTGAGAGCATATTCGCAACTACTTTAGTCAACTCTTCATGACAGACTCGATTCAGTTACCTACCCTGCCTCGGGGGAAGTTTCCTCGGATTCATAATGCTGAATGGCAGGTTGTCAACAGGCCCTTCTCCCCGGAAGAGATCAAACAAGTTCTCTTTGACATGGCTCCGTCAAAGGCCCCGGGTCCGGACGACTTTAACGTAGGTTTTTACCAGCAGACTTGGCAGATTGTAGGCGATTCTGTCACTGCGTTTGCCAAGGATTTCTTTGAAAATGGCATTCTACCAGCAGGAAGCAATGACACCGTGATTACACTAATTCCCAAGGTTCCCAACCCAGAAACAGTAAAGAAGCTCCCTACGATAGATCTTTGCAATGTTTCTTACAAAGTTTTAACCAAAGCTATGGCATTTAGGCTTAAGGAGATCTCCCAGAAACTAGTTGGCCCCTTTCAAGCTAGTTTCGTTCCGGGCAGGCAAATATCAGACAACATACTCGTTTATCAAGAAGTTTTAAATTCCATAAGAATGAGAAAAGGTTCCAGCGGTTGGATGGTATGGAAGATCGGCTTTGAAAAGGCCTATGATCGTTTATCTTGGGACTTTATCCGAGATACTTTGGAAGATATAGGTTTTAATCACATTTGGATAAGGAACATCCTAAACTATATTTCTTCACCCAGATTTTCAGTAGCCTGGAATGTTGAACATTCAAACTGGTTTACTCCTGGTCGTGGCATCCGTCAAGGAGATCCCATTTCCCCTCTTCTATTTGTTTTATGTATGGAAAGATTAAGCCATCTAATCCAACTCTCTATGGACACAAGTCAGTGGAAAGGGATCAAATTGGCTAGGTAAGGCCCCCTCATCTCTCACCTGATGTTTGCAGATGATGTTGTTTTGTCTGGCGAAGCTTCGGAGCTACAAGCTGAGACGATGTTGCGGTGCCTTGATGCTTTCTGTGACTCATCAGGAGATCCACTCAAATCGTCTATGTTCTTTTCCAGTAACACACCCCCCATGGTGCAACAATCAATTTCTAGCAGATCCAGAATTCCAATTGTCCAAGACCTTGGTAAATATTTAGGGGTCCCCTCTTTGCATGGAATACTAAAGGTTGACACTTTTGCAGGTATGCTAGAGAAGGTTCGCAACAGGCTTTCTGGCTGGAGGTCAAAGTCGCTCTCACTTGCTGGAAGACACGTTCTTGCGCAATCAGTCATTTCCACTATCCCATTTTACACGATGCAAACCACCCTTGTCCCTAGGGGTGTTATCCAGTCCATTGAGCGTCTTATTCGCAGCTTTCTTTGGGGAGCTAACGAAGGTGAAAGAAGGTGTAATTTGGTCAACTGGAACACAGTTACGAGATGCAAGTCTAATGGGGGATTAGGAATTCAGAAACTAGAGGAGATGAACACTGCTTTTCTTGCCAAGTTAGGTTGGAGGCTAATCATAGAAGAAGATTCCCTCTGGGCAAAGGTCTTTAGAAGCAAATATTCCATATCAAGCGCCCCTCTCCATTGTCATGGCGGCCCAAGAGGAATATGTCCAATGCTTGGAAAGGAGTTCTCAAGAGTGTTCCCGTTCTTCAAGCAGGTATTAAAAAATTGGTTCGTGATGGGAAGGATACTCTTTTTTGGCACGACATTTGGTTAGGCAGCCAACCTTTAAGAGAGAGTGCCATTAGCCATTCTGGAAGCTGATCTTAACCTCACAGTTCACGACTACTGGATTGATCCTGTTGGCTGGAAGTGGGAAGCCTTCCATAATTTACTCCCGGAAGGTATCCTCGACATGCTTGCTACCACATTTATTGTCACAGAAAATAACCTTCCCGACCAACTTGTATGGAAGAATGAGACATCAGGCCACTTTACAGCCACTTCAGCTTATGGCCTAGCACCCAATGATCCAGACGCAGCAGATAAGGCGGCCTGGGAAAACATTTGGAAGTTAAGAGTTCCGAATCGTATAAGGACCTTTTTGTGGCTGATGAAGCATGATAGAGCTATGACGAATGCTAATAGAGCTAAACGAGGCTTCACCCTCAACGATAATTGTTGGGTTTGTCCTACGGTTGTAGAAGATATAGAGCACGTATTGAGGAGATGTCCCAAGGCTGAAGCAAGTTTGGTTACGTCTTCTCCTAGAGTTCACATCTAAATACAACTCCCTTTCCTTTAATGAGTGGTTTGACCGAGGTATCTCTGATAGATCTCACGGCAGATTTCCTTCTAGTCCTGCCAACTTTTTTACTATCATATCTTGGTGGATTTGGCGCTAGAGAAATGATGCAGAAGTTATGAGCCACCCCTTAATTTCAAGTGCAAATGGATCACCAACCAACTGATGGAGATAGATTCAGCGTTTGCAAAATCTTCTGGTCTTAAGTCCCAGATAGTAGCCTTAACTTGGAAGTGTGTCTCGTGGACCAAGCTTCAAGAGAATTTTACAAGATCAACGTGGATGGAAGTTCAAACCCCCAGCTTAACCTGGTTGTGGGGGTGTTGTGAGGGATAGTTCCGGAGTTTGGTTAAAAGGCTTTACTTGCAACCTCGGATCATGCCCCCCGCTGATGGCTGAGGCATGGGCTCTACTCAAAGGGATTCAGCTTGCGAAGTCCCTTAAACTTGATCACGTTATCTTTGAAAGTGACTGCAAGGAAGTGGTTGATGGTCTGCTGTCTAATGAACTGGAAAACTCAAACATTCACAATCTGCTGTTGGCATGCAAATGGGAGCTCATTGGCATTAGAGACTGGAGAATTACCTTGATCTACCGCGAACAGAACACGGCTGCTGATGCCCTTGCAAGGATTTCAGTCTTTCGTCCTCGTAGCTTCTTTAGTCTCCAACAGCGACCTTCTGAGATCTTGCATCTACTTGACACTGAATGTTGCAACTTCCCATCTTGGAAAAATGTTGTTTTGTAACAAACTTTGTTATCTTTTTGTGATCTGAATATATGGGTGCCCCTCGTTTTAAATAAAAAAAAAAAAGCTAATTAAACAATATTTACTTCTGAGTGTTATGTAATGTGATGACATCTCTGCTATAATTTCAAGTGAGTGATCACATGATCGGATATAATGTTTTTTGGGAACCGATATTACTATATAGTATTATTATTAGTTTTTAAAAAAATATTTATTCATGTTAATATTATTATTAATTTTAGAAAAAAAAAATTCGGTTGGCCCGCGAAGTGGGTTAGGGTCATAGGCAAATTATTGTGTGAACTATAATAAAAAGTACATTTTTAATATACTAAAAGTATATTATTTATGTACTAAATGTACATTGTACAAAATAATGTACTTTTTCTGACTATAATGTACATTTTTTATATACTAAAAATAATTATTTGTGTACTAAATGTACATTATTTGATAGTATGATCCACGCAGTGGGTCATTATATTGTGGACCGCGGTAAAAAACGGCACCGTTTCTTTAAGTAAAGAAATAGCGCGTCGTTACTGTTAACGGAGCACGCACTTTTGTGTGTGTTTAATTACCAACTGAAACTACAGTGTATCTAAATTGACACTACAATGTATCTAAATCGACACTCCCTCACGCATTATTTTATATATTATCAAATAAAACTACAGTTATATCAAAATGATAATGTAGTTGTGGTGAAATGAAACTGCAGTGTATATAAAATGAAACTGAATAACATTTCACATATTTGAGTGCATATTATGCAATGAAGTTGCAGTCATATCGAAATGATCATGTAGTTGTGTTTTAATAAAACTATAGAGTATATAAAATAAAATTAAATAACATTTTCACATATTTGAGTGTATAAATATCTAAATGAAACTGTAGTTATGTTGAACTGAAACTGCAGTGTATACAAAATGAAACTGAATAAAAGAGTTACTTTTTGCGAAACGACGCGAAACGGGTGCCGTTTCTTTTCATTAAACAAAACGACATCATTTTGAAATTTGGTGCATAATTGATTATGCACCACGGTGCACGATATAATTTGCGCCACACAATAATAATTGAGAGTCGTATGAATCTTAGCCCACGGACTGTGGTTATATGAACCTTAGCCCGTGGGCTGACCCACAAAAGTCCGCAAAATATTGGCCGACCGTGGAGTAGGCGAGCCAATAATTATGTCATGGATCCAGGTCCACTTTGCAAGATGGATCCGAGTCAAAATACACTATTTATATACTGAACGTTCACAATTCAAATTATGAACATTCACTCATTCAGTATGTAAATTGTGAACATTCAATATATAAATTGTGTATTTTTAGATCTAAGTCCACATGATAATTTGCCGGCTTTGACCGTTTTAGATTTGGTAATGTAGTTTGGGCGGGAACTATTTTTTTTAGAAGTTTTCTTTTGCTTAATGCTTATATTCAGAAATATATTTTGACACTCCTTCAGCTGTCTACGGTCCGTCCTCTGCCCTCCACCACCGCACCACATATCTTCACCATTTCGTCTTCTCCTTCATTCGCTCAGCAATTTGGTAATTCCTAAATCCCCTAATTCTAATTGTATAAAACCCTAAATCTCTACCTCTTAAATTCCCTAACAATCGTTTCTATGAAGCATTGTTGAATCGTTGCTGCAACTATACTCTTTGGTATTATCTCATATTTTCTGTTGAATGGATTGCGTAGCACACTAGCACGAAATTCTGATTCAAAGCAGGCCAGTTATGGCCTATGGGTTTATACAGTTATACTCTTTTAAATCTATTTCTCGTTCCAGCTTATCCATTGTTTCTGATGCTGTCTACAGTAGCTTAGCTTGTCATCTACTAAACTGATTTTGCTTGTCAACAGATAAAGATTTGTAATTTGTATGCCTAACCAGCATTCTAAAGAATTTTGATTTGCTGGAAAAAAGGGAGAATTGCAATTTTTGTTCCAAATTATTAGATAATTGTTATTTTTGTCCCTAGTTTCTTATTTCGTCCTTAAGCTTTTATCTAGGTTGCTCTTTTTTTTTTTTTTTTTCCCTAATTCTTTTGGTAATTGCTATTTTATCCCTAATTATTGTGCAAAATATATAATAATTCCCCAAGAATTAGGGACAAACACCCAAGAACTAGAGATGAAAAGAACAACCGAGATAAAAGCTTAAGAATGAAATATGAGCACGGGACAATTGAAATTTACAAATTTTCTAAAAAAATATAATATTCTATAGGACTGTATTATGAGATTTGTAAAACTAATTTGAGAGATTTGTTTTATAATTGATTAATTGTTTAATTGTGATTAAGAATTGTGAATGTTGAAAATTGCATTTTGAATGAAACAATATTAGAGTGATTTCACAATATGAGACTATGAGAGAACGTAGGGGAGTTTTATCTCTTTGTCATGAATATTGTATTTGGTATTCGAACCATTATATCTAATTAATGGTGTTTCATATTTTGTCTTTGTGTGTGTGTGTTTTGAATTGCTTTAATTTTGCCCCGACTCAAGTATAATCCCTGCTCTGGCACTGATCCTTGTTTTGTCAAAGATTCCATAATGGTTGTCTTTGCATGTTTGGATAGCTATAAATTAAAGCTAATGTTTTTGTGCTTAGTTTATTTTCGGAACTGATAAAAGAACAATTATTAAGGCAAATGATATTTTGTGATGCTTAAGATGTATTAACTACTGCTTCTGCTAATCATTGATTTGATATGTTTTTTTAAAAAAATTTACAATGCCTTATTCCAATGGTATTAAGAGACAAAGCAATCATTTCATAGGCAATTAATCATTTATTCATTTCTTGTGATCTTTGTCTTAAAACTTTTGCCAATCTTTTTTATTGGATAGATTGGCAGAAGGCATATATATAAGACAAAGTGATGCCTTTATTTTTTTATTTTAAATTTTTTTGAAACATATTAAGTGGGTTTGGGTACCCTACGGTAGTATTAAATGGATTTGAGATGGTATGGGTAATATAATGAAGAGGTACCCTACTTGTTGCCAACCTTACCCTTCTTTCCTCTCCCTCCCTCCTCTCACCACTCCCCCAACCCCCTCTCAAATTATCAATCACCACTGCATTCTCTCCTCTAGTTTTTCTTGCTCATTGCCTGTTTCCATTTCGCCATATCAGAATTCAGAGTAACAGGTTTTTCTCATATGTAGGTTTTATTAATGTAAATATTATGTATTTATGCTTGTTTTTCCTAAACTGTTTATGAAATCTAGTCTTTCTAAAATACTAACATACTAGTAAATGTTTAACACCAAAGTAGTGGTGTTGGGAAATATTTTGGAGAAAAAAAAATGTATAGAGAAATTTACAATTATAGAAATCAGGAAATCATTTAGAGTTCTATAAATAAATTTTTAATCTGAATGGTTTGGGACTTTGTGGATTTTATCTGAATATCTGGTCATTAATATTCAAATTCATACAAAGATGGGTCTTCAGGCTGTGTATCACTAAGCATGACGCCAATCTCAACTATAGTGGATTACTCTAGCCTCTAGGTCTCTTTTCAGCTTTGCATTGATCTAATATTCTAATTTCTATTACTCTTAAATTTCTTGTTATTTGTTCACCCTTTTGATATGCAGGATGGTTCATGATGTATGTAGGATTGCTTCCATAGTTTCTGTGCCTTGAAGTGTGCCTTTCCATTTCATTTTCTTTTATTGAATGGTAGATGGAAAAATGTTTTATTATTATTATTATTATTATTTTTAAATATTCAATACAAGAATTACGAAGTAATTTTTTTTTTTTTGCAATTTTACATAATGATATTAATACTATTTTTAGGTTGGCATATTTTTAGCCTGTGTCAGAAGGCATCTTGCATCCACTATATGTGCAGTGTTCTATACTTGTATGCATTAATTGTGCAAGGGTTGCTGCATCCACTATATCTGATAATCATTATGTAATACTAATATTTAATTTTGATTTCGTGACTCTATTTTCATTTTGTTTGTGGTTGAATGTGCAGAGGGCTGAATTTATTACAATGATTTGATCAAAATTACTGTTCTAAAAAGAATAGTGAGGCTGATCTCAAACTTTTTTTTATTATAGGATGGCAAATTATTATGACATTGATGATATTTTAGCTGAAGAAGAGGTCAGATTATCCTTCTTTTTTTTTTTTTTTTTTTCTTTTGAATTACAGAAGAGCAAACCTTTTTCCTCTTTGCTTGTTAAATTAATTCTATTAATTTGATTACACTGTTTGCCTTGGTTTCATTTCTTTATTTCAGCTTGTTCCAGCTGTATTCCAGAAGACTGCCAATGCAGTTGGGATATTTGATTGCTGTGATGATATGAATAAGGTGAAGTTTCAATCACTGCTGAAAAATTCAGCAAAGGGGATTTTACCCCTTTTTTTCCCCTCATTTTTTGTTTTGATGTGAGGGGTTTTGAAATGGAATTGAAACAACAGATAGTAATAGTGTGTTCAGTATTTGGAAAAATTTTCCAATTTTCTGGAATGAAAATGGAAGGATAGAAAATGATTGGAAATGGAAAAAAAAATTGGAAAAATGCTTCTACAAAATGGAAAATGCAGATGAACAAGGTACTGTTCATCATTGATAAATAGCAGTTCACACTTTTTTTTCAAAACACTTTCACGTGGGACCCACTACTTTTTGTAGAATGGAAATGAAATGTTGGAGATAGAAAAAGTGGAAAAAAGGATAACTTTGACAAACTAAACACCCTAAACTTTCAGGTGGGAGCTGGTATGGAAGTAGAAATGCCGTTTTGGCTTGCCCGTGAGCTATATGTGAAACAAGCTGTGAAGATTAAAGTTCCGTCATGCTTTGACACCAAGTAAAGTCTGCATGCTCTCTCTTTTGTGGTGTTTTATACTGAATGATTCGATACAATGATTGTAGAATTAAGATTATGATAGATGTGTAAATGTCTTTGTAAAGAGTACGGAGCTATAACTTTGCCCATTAAAGTGACTGTTGGTGTTTGATATGTTGATGAATCTGATTCATATGTATATACACAATTACATCAACAAGACTCAGAGTATGATCTTCATTTAGGCACCCTACAATAACAGTTTCAACAAAAATCTAATATCAATCATTTAGCCTGCTTCTCTTTCTTTCCGTAAATTACTAAGCTATTAAGTATTAAACTAAAGTATGTAGCTACTTGAATTGTTTTGGAACTGCTAATTGGGATGTCAAATTTGTTATGGTCTGCAGTTAACATATGGACTAATTTGGAGAAAGTTTGATCCTAATTTGCACATGCTTTTGTGCCTTTAAGTCAGATCTTGTTCAATTTAGTAGATGAAGTGAAACTTTTTTTTTTTTTTTTTTTTTTTTTTTTTTTTTTTTTTAATTTTATAACTTAATCCCTTGCTACACTAGATCTGAACAAGAGTTGATCTCAAACTAAACTATGCACTATACTCCCCTTTAGTGAAAGGAGGCTTGTTAGAAATTATTTATGATATCTTCTTTTTAGCTTACTAGGACTGCTTTATTTTATTGTTGTGATGTATTCACCAGGGAGAGACCCAGAGATAGACATCGGGATGAACCTCTCAAAAGGAGGGATAGAACAAAGGATGAGATCGGAGCTGATGCTGCACATGTGGATTTGAGAGGCCGATGCCCATATTTTTACAACTTTGGATGCAAGATAGCAAGACTGTGAGTTACTTGTATCTTCATTTTATATATGTTGCATCAAATGCCGCTTTATATGCTTGCGTTCGTTCAACTATGATGTTTTTGAAATTGAATTGAAACTGTTGGCAATTTGGCAATCAACATAAATTTATCAATTTGGTAAGATGGTAATTACACTGCAGGAAATAATGTGTTTCATACATGCAAATACTTTATAATTTGTTGAATATGATTTGCATCTTTTAGTATCTGCAACTTCACTGCATCTTTGTTTGTGTAGAACCGGTGACAAAACAATAGGGCCTTTTCTGTTGGTTGCATTTCGGACGAGATACAAAGAAGTGTTGATCAAGGCATACACTGCAGCATCCGCAGTGGCTTCCAAACACTTAACACTTCTAACACAGGAAGAGATGAAATGTAAGCTTTTTAGAACCTCCTCTCATTCTTCACTATTCTTTCGTCGTGGGTGCAATGGAACAAATATGTATAAAACTCACTTGTTAATGTGAAGTGTACGAGGCTGGGCAATCCTCAACAATGGCTTTCAAGAAATGGCGGATGGGTGGACCTAGACTGCTGAAAGCTTCTGTGCTTGGGAGAAGAAAGAGAAAGCCAACCGAATAGATTTTGTTATCTTTGTGTAATCATCAATCAGTCAGCTATTAGCTAGGAAGTGAAACTGATACGTGCTTGTACCAATAGCATTCAGTGCAGATCTATTCTCATGTACTGTCGTAATAGAAACTAAGCATAAACAGTAGGGAGAAGAGAAGAAAGGGTGTAGAAAAGGGAGATGAGAAAGAAGTTGAAAGTTTCATTCAAAACTCAGCATAAGGACCCTTATTACATAAACAGTCAATATATAATCTTGCTCAAACTATTCCCTCAAAGCCTCAATTGAATTCCACTACACAAAAGTAGAAAATAGCAAAAACTGGAATTTAAATCAACTAAACTACAAAAGGGCATTGTTGGATACTTGGATTAAGGCCAATTGTAGCCAATTGCTAAGTGCTAAATTATGTCGTTGGACCCTAGCTCAACTGCCTCCAACTGCTACTTCAAGTGATGTCATTTCTTGCTCAATGTTCTTCCTTCTCAGCCTCCATCTTTCTTCTTTTTGCTTTCTTAAGCTTCCTTATTAGTTTCCTTTCATTTGTTCCACCATTGAGGGTTGTTACAATACCCCCTCCTACAGAAGATCTGTCTCCAAGAACCAAACAATGGAAACTCGCTTATGATGATAGTCTTCCCAAGTTGCTTCTTCTTTAGGTAGATTAGACCATTGCACTAGGATTCGTACCACTGCCTTATTGTTCCTTTTAACCAATCTTTTCCTAAGTATAGCCACTGACTCAGCCAAAATGGGTCCTTCCTGACCAGTTACGGGAGGATCAATATGAGGAATAATTCTCTCTCCGTTCCTGGTGGTAGCAGTAGTTTGTAGGCAATTAGTATCTTGAAGACAACTTTAAATTACTCCTAGTTTTACAGAATCATTATATTCGTCTCCGGCCGGATCGGAAGTTATATTTACAGAATCACATGCACTGAAATACTGATGTATGTTTTATATAAAAGAACCTTAGTTTTAGCATCTCTTAGTTTAGATTGCAAAATTGAACACTAACATTTCATATAACAAAAATAAGTTCACAAAACACATTTCAGTGCATGTGCATGTAATTCTGTAAATATAACTTCCGGCCGGAGAAGGCAAAATCATATATGTCAGGTTGCACAAATTAAAAATAGGATTCAAGGGGATCGTCATAGGATGCAAGGGGAAATCATAGGATGCAAGGGGATCATAGGATTTAATTTACAAGTAAGAAATTGAAAGGTTGCACAAAAATAGGATGCAAGGGGAAGGCAAAATCATATATGTCAGGTATTCATTTTAGTTTTCTATGAGATTATATTGCACAATGTAGAAAAAATTGCTATTGAAGTATATACTCTAAACTGATAAAAGATATATGTAAATCCAACTTCACATTAAATAAAAGGATGGGCTCATATCAATTTGGGGGAAAAAATTGCCCAGCAATAAATCTAATATAATTACTGCATATCTGAAACCAACCCTATAGGGAAATAGCTACATTTAAAATGAAGACATCAATTATGGGTCAAATAAAGTTATTTAAAATAAGATCACAGTTCATAAGAAAAATTCACATAGCTCTATCTATTCATGTAAAGAAACAAAATGGTGAAGTATAATAGGAGTACGTGAAGAGAAAGTTAGCAGCATAAACAACATTTTTGCGGATGGGAATATTATCTTTCTTTCTGTTTTTTTTTTTTTTATTATTTTATTTTATTTTTTTATTTTTATTTTTTTTATCCTATATATGTATAATCTCTTTGCCATTATGCTTTAAACATATAAGAACTAAGTTAGTATATGTTATAGAAATATGTCTTCTATATCTAAATAAATGTAATACAATTCTTTGATGATACAGTCTACTATAACAGTGCAACCACAAGTATTTTATTCAGTTTTAGATGAAAAATCACACAATTAATAGGTCATCCATGATAATAACAGTGCTTTGAAAAAATGGAACTCCAGGCATTAAGAATAAATGCTTTGTATTTGGCGTTTAGGCTACCTATTTATAATGTGTATTTGGGAAAAAAATTATGAATTTATGACAATCACATTAAATTTAGGACTGGAACAACAAAAATTAGGAGGAACATTTAGGGGAAAAAACACAATACTAATTTAGTACACATTATTATCATAGATTTTTTTTTTTTTTTTTTTTTTAAACATCATTTTAGACTTCTTTGTTAGTATTTTTACTAGCTATGATTTTTTTTTTTTTTTTTTGGGTAATAAAACAAATGGAAACTTGGAGAAAAATTGTTTGTATTAGGTGTTGATTGTAGTACTTTCATGTGGGATACCATATATCCTCACTTGATCTTTACCCTATATATATATACTAGTTTTTTTTTTTTTTTTTTTACGCGCATTGCACGATTAGGATAATGCCCAATGTTTTTTTTTTTTTTTAAGTACTTTAAAGTATATCAAGGCAAGATTATATTGGAATTGTTCATGCATAGAGAATTAAATGTTAAATTTACGTATTTAAATAGGCAATTCTAAATTTACAAATGCAAGATAATATAGTCAAAATTGATTATAATTGTCAATAAAATAATTGTATAGGTATGGTTGAAACCAAATAGAGGACATAAGGGAGAGCAAATAAAAATTAGCGCACAAAATATTAAATATATACTAATATTGAGGAGCTAACTGCTGACTGCCAAACAAGGACATTGTGAGATAGTTTCCCACTTCAATTTGTTGTGTGATTTGAATATTTTTTTTGTCAATAAATCCCCAAGTAGTTAATATGATTGGATTAATTATATATATTTTTATTTTTTAAAGCAATTATTATTATTATTATTATTATTATTATTATTATTATTATTATTATTATTATTATTATTATGTATACCCTTAGGTCATTTTACATGTTAATCTAAACATCTAATTTTTTCAAATATCGTTTTACCAATCGTTGATATAATTCGCTGATCAAATTCGTTAATATAATCCGCTAACGCTAACCACTAACTGTTGATTGTCAAACAAGGACATTGCGAGGTAGTTCTCACTTCAATTTGTTGTGTGCTTTGAATATTCTCTTTGTCAACAAATCACTCAAGTAGTTAATATGATTGACTTTATTAATTATATTTTTTTTTTTATTTTTTCATGGTATTAATAAAATACTTGGTAAATAAATATATATAGCATTATTTTGTATTATAACTTTGATATTTAATTAAAAAATAGTGCACAAAGAAGATAATAGACAATATAGTGAATATAATCAATTGATGAATTTGAATGTAAAGAATTTTTATATTGGAGAAATATAAAGACAATATAACTAATAAAATTATTTCTCTTAATTAATTTATTGATAATGAATATTTTTTTTTTAATAAAGACATTGTAGGGACAATGTAGCGAATATAATCAATTAATGAATTTGAATGTAAATAATTTTTATATTGGAGAAAAATAAATACAATATAACTAATGAAATTATTTCTCTTATTTAATTTATTGATAATGAATAATTTTTTGTGAATAAAGACATTGTAGACATATAATTTTAAATTAAAGAAATGCATTTGTATTATTTTTGGTTGTAGCTACTAAATTATTATTTAATTTAATATGAGTAAAATTGAGTACTAATTATACCAACTTTGATTGGGATGAGGTTCGAACCTAAGACCTTTTTATTGAAATCAATTAGTAAGTTAACGGTGAACTAACAGAAATTAACAGAAAAGATAATATTTAACGGAAAAGTTAACGGATAATTATATTCATTAAGGATAAATTAGTAAATCTTAAGGAAAAATTAAAATCTGATCAATCTGAGCCATTCATTTGATTAAAAAATTTGACCGCCATTTTTTCTACCCATTATAGGCTTAACTCTCTTGGGCTCTTATTAGTATAGTAGATAGTAGATATATATATATATATATATATATATATATATATATATATATATATATATATATATATATATATATATATATATATATATATAGATTTTGGATCTGGTGAGGTTACCTTTGTCAGGCAAGGTGGTGAGGCTCAATCTTGTACATTTATTTTTATATTTGGACGTCCTGGATCGATTCTTTTTAATTGCCGCGTTTGCTGCTTATATGGTAGATTTAGGGGCAGGATGGTCTTTTTCTTTGTATTTTAATTACACTGCAATTAATACTCCCCGATTTTGTGGATTTGTGTAGGTTAATTATGGTTAAATAAGATTTTAGGATTTTTATTTTTTTATTCCCATCTCTTCACCTTCGTGTCTTTGCGTTTTTCGTTTCGGCTTGTCGACAAACTGTGCGGCTCGTGCGATCTCCTCTCCGGTGCGATTCTTCTCAGTCCGTGTTCCACAATCCATCGTTGACGCCGTCCTGCTTTCCTCGTATCGTTCGCGTAGTAGTCATGGCAGGTTCTTCCAACTGGCGGTCCAAGCGTCAGAAGGGGGGGGGGGGGGGGGGTGTTCTTCCGGTTGCATTCCAGGAATTCCTGTAGCCGCGGCTATGTGTATGGTCTTTCATTGCTTATTTGTTTCTTGTGCTGATGTTGCATGTCTACGGTGACTACTCCGATGTCGGGGGTTTTGCTCTGTTATGTTCCGGGGTTTGGGGGTTTCGGTTTAGTCGGATATTAAGGTTTATTTGGGGGGGGGGGGCGGGGGGGGTACTCCATCTGATGCATTTGTAGGTTTTTTTTTTTTTTTTCCGGTGAATGTCGTTTTCCGACCTTCAAGGTCTGTGCATGGCCGCGGTTTTGTCCGTTTTAACTGATTATCCGACGATAATATTGTCTACCACTTCTCTCTTGAATACTAGATGATTGTATTTTGTGTATAGAAATTGTTAGAGGACCATTTTACTTAGAAGCTTATGTGTCATCATTATAGTCGGATAATCAGTTAAAACGACTTGAATAATATTATATCATATGGAGAATTCTTACATAAATCTCTTGTACATGTTTGATATTCTCTGCTGCTATGTATTTTCATTCAATGGTTATGATTCCAGAAGCTGAATTGATGAAAGAGCGGTTTGCTAAGTTGTTATTAGGAGAAGATATGTCTGGTGGAAGGAAGGGAGTATGCATGCTCTCGCCATCTCCAATGCAATTACAAATCTTGCGGGTATATATATCTTTAACTATTGGAATCATGGAATCATTTATTCAACACACTCATTAATCTTCGTCTGGTTTAATAATTAAATTTGTTTATATATAGTGTCTCGGCTAACACCGAATCATGTAAATATGTTACATTCGAAACG